GTACCCCGACATCCCCGACGCGCCCGTCATCTGCGGCTGTATCGACGCTCCGGTCGTCTGCGGTGTGATGAACTCTTCTTCTTCGCGGAAGAGCGGCGCACTGTCGTCTGGAATCAGCCGCGAAATGCGCCGCGCGACGTTGCGGAACTGCCGATCGGAAGGACGCGCGGTCGCTGGAGTGCTCTCGGCCAGGGGGTGCGCAACAATAATGGGAGGCGGGACTGACGACCGACGACTGCTCGCCACGGTCGAACGCAGATCCTTGATGTCCTGCGCGAGCGATGATATCTGGGTGTCGATATGCTGTTTTATCTGATCAAGGGCTGCGCAGCACGGTATCAGCATGCGTCTGCAGAAGCCAACGTCGGTACATACGCTCGATATTCAGGGACAGCAGACACTTGGGCTTGATCTCATCCATATCTTCGAGCTCATACTGCACGCCGCTGGAGGGATCACGGATGTAGATTGCCGGAAAGTTATCGCGCCCAGGGTTGTACGAGAATTTGTCCACGAAGAGCACTCGGAGACTCGACGCAGACAATCCAGGCTCGATGACCGCCTTCTTTACCTCCCGTCCTACCTGCAAGAACACTGGGAACGAGGTGAGAGTAGGCTCGACCTGCGGTGGCTCGGAAGAAGCTACAATGGGTGATTCCTTCGCTGGCGGAGGTGGAGGCGCGTCGTCGACAGATACTACTAGAGAAGGTGCTTTGGGCGGTGGCTGTGGCGACACGTCTCTCGACGGCAGTGGCGGAACAGGTGGTGCCTCATCCTCCTCGTTGATCGGCGACGGATTCCGAGACCTCTGTGAGCCTTTACTCCTGCTCCGCTTGGATGGCGACACAGCCTCACCGTCTTCGTCCGCCTCGGTCAACGCTGCGAGCTCTCCAGGGCTCAGAGCGGACGACACAGCCAACGACCGGCGATTCGGATTGGCCGCGGCGCTCAAGCGCTCTCTGATGGACCCACCCGTCATCTTCGAGATGTTGTACGTCGAGAACCGTTTTGACGCCCGCCGTTCCAGCGCATCGCGATTCCGGAGTGCAGCCAGAGAGTTCTGCACGCCATGTGTCTCCAGCCCAGATCCATCCTGCGCCAGCTCGGACGGAGGCAAAACCGGTGAATCTTGTGCTTCGACGGCGGTGTGCTCTGGCGAGCTCTCATCAACGACAACTGCGGGAGTAGAGGCCTGCGAAGGCACGGGCGGGGAAGCCGTCATGGGACGGTCTACGAGTGAATACCGCTTGACGTGACTGGGAACCTGAGAAGGTGGTCGTGGGGTGGGCATAGCTACGTGTTCCATTAGGGGGGGCTGCCTCGGTGTGGCTTCACGATCCACCACTGCATGGTGGCCATTCGGGCGCTGGGCATCCGACGTAGACGCAGATCGTGAGTGGGAGTGGAAGTGGCCGTTCGTCTCGGATGGCGGCTGGGAGCGGCTGTGAGACTGGATGGGAGTTGAGGATCGACTTGAGTACCCGTCGTTTGCCAGCCTGCCTGATGGCGCGGAGCTGCTCGCGGGTGGCGTGTGCCCGTTGGTGCTGGGATCTGGTGGAAGAGACTGTGTGGAGGGGGCGGGTTTTCGCTTGCTTGACGGGTTCCGGCGGGCATAGCTATCAGACGGCTCGGACGCGTGTCTCGACGATTGTGGACGGGATGAAGCCTCTGCGGGTTTCCTATCTGAATGAGACGACGCTTTGCTTTCGCGGTCGCCGGGTTCGGTCCCTGATGAACGGTGTTTGTGGTCCGAGACGATCCTGCGATAAATCGACTGCTTGCCACGCAGGCCCGTGAGTAGGTTCGTGATGATTTGCCGTACCTCGGGGAGGTAGACTTCGAGGTTTTCTGGTGTCGCATCTTCAGAAAGACAGCCCTCGAGGACGGAGCGCAGGTCCTCAGGGACCGACATCAGTTCGCTTGAAGATGTCAATGAACGCGAGCGGGCGAGACATCGGGGTGGCCACTCACTTCATTGGGATGTTGAAGGACGTGAACGCAGCGACGGCAGCGTTGAAATCGTTCCCCAGTCGGACATAGACATCGCTGACTTGTAGCTCCGTCAACTCCTGCTTGCTCCATCTTGTGAGAGATTCCAGCAGCTGTTTGATCGATACGAGCAGACGAGTGACGGCGGTCTCAACGGCGGGCTGCAGCAGATGGTTGACGAGAGGAGATCGGTGAAACCGAATCTTATAGGGAGGTGAGGAATAGACTCACGCTTCCGGTGCGGGTCGTTCGGTCGCCCCGTTCGCCGCGGTTGGATGCCTGTCCTGAAGATCCTGAGCTGGTGCTGGCTGAGACCGATGCAGTTGTTCGACGAGACGCAGGCGCAGGCTGTTTCGACATGATGAGAGGCGAGGGATGGACCCGACGAAGAGATATTATCGAGTACGTCGGCTCCTGGGTCTGGGTCGCAGACAGCCCAATTAGATAATATGGCAACTTTTGCTAAGTAACTCTGGTTTGAATGCTATCGGTAAGTGAGCTGAAGGCAGAAATAGCTGACAACTTGAACGTGGGATGATCTGCTTACATAATAGCAGGCGCAGACAGCGGCGACTTGTCCAAGTTGAACGAGTTGATTCATTCATTGCTCACTCCCGCGTCGGTCGTCGCTGTTGCTGTCGTCCTCCCGCCTGTCGCCCACAGTGAAGTCGCTGGCCGACTAGTCAACGGCCTCGTCGCCGACGCCCCATCCCATCACTATGCTCGCCGCTCTTTTGATCATGATTGTGTCTGCCGCCTTGTCCTCCGCCTCGTCTGTGTCTGTCCAGTTTGCACTCCAAGACCAACTTCCCCTCATCGCCCGCACCAACCAGTCCTATTCATGGTCATTCTCTCGCGATACATTCATTTCTACCCGCAACGCGTCTTTGGAGTACACAACATCGGCTCTGCCCGCCTGGCTCGCCTTTGACAACTCGACGTTTACATTCTACGGTACTCCTGCGCAATCTGACGAAGGGGCGCCGGAAGTCCATGTCACGGCAACGGATCCGGGGACTCTGGACAGTGCATCGTCCGACTTGACTCTCTGTGTCACCCCCGACCCGCCTCCCCAGCTGCATGTTCCTGTCAACCAGCAGTTCTACACAACAAACCCCTCCCTCTCTTCTGTGTTTCTTCTTTCACAAAACTCGGCCTTGAACTCAACGAACCCCACCCTGCGGGTCCCCCCTAGCTGGTCGTTCTCTATCGGGTTTCTGGCAGATACGTTCACTTCTGGCGGCGACGTCTATTACGCTGCTCTCCGCAGTGATGGTGCACCCCTGCCATCCTGGGTGCGCTTCAACCCCGACTCAATTACCTTTGACGGAGTCACGCCCGCCCTGCTCAACTCAACCACGCCTGTGACGGTGTCGCTCGCTCTGCATGTGTCGGACCAGCCTGGCTTCACGGCGGCTTCGGAGCCCTTCAACATCGTCGTCTCTTCTCATGAGCTCTCTGTGTCTGCGGCCTCTCTGCCCACCATCAATATGACTGCCTCGACGCCCTTCAATTTCAGTCTCACCTCTCCCGACGACTTTTCGGGTGTCCTGGTTGATGGAGAACCGATACAGCCCTCTCAAATTACTTCCTTGAGTATTGATACTTCGGGTGCTGGAAATTGGCTTTCGTACGATCCGGATACTAGAACTCTGAGCGGAAGAGCCCCGGACAACGCAGATGGGCACGCGAACGGCATCGTCTTGCCTGTGACCCTCGGGTCGTCTGTAAACCAAACTATCCAGACTAACGTCGCTCTTGCTATAGTGCCCTCTTACTTTTCTACGGCGACAATGCAGCCTATCTTGGTAATGCCAGACAACACTCTCGACTTTAATTTGATACAGTACTTCTCGAACAACACTGAGCTTGGCGACCAGCGGGCAGAGGTCAACCTTACTGCTGCGTACGATCCGCCGGCTGCGGGGTCGTTCCTTACCTTTGACAGCGGCACCGCGCAGCTTACCGGGACTGTTCCTGCCAACATTTCCTTCTCGCATGTTACTGTTACGTTCACGGCGTACTCTGATGTGACGCACTCCACGTCTCACGCGAGTCTGCCGATCTCGCTGTCGACCGTGGACTACAACAGCCAGCCCGTGAACGGGATGTCCGCGGCTGCGAAAGCGAAGCTGCTGTACTGCTTGCAGATCGTGGGCTTCGTCGTCGGGGGGATACTGCAGCTCGTGTTCATCGTGGCGCTGGTGCGCAAGTGCGTGCGGCCCAAGGACACGGCGGTGACTGGCGAGGAGGGCGCGCGGGCGTACACGGACGAGGAGAAGAAGTGGTACGGGATCGGAATCGAGGTGGACGGCAAGGTCACCGAAGGCCCCGCCCCGGACGGGATGCACGAAGGCGCGGGCGGGGCACCCTACCCGGAGAGAGACGTCGAGTCTGGGCGCGCGCTGCGACCCGGGGGTGTCGGCGCGGCGCTGCACCGGGTGCTGACGCGGACGGTGTCGCAGCCGCGGTCGCTGCTCAGCCCGGGGAGCGCGGCGAGCGCGGGGGTGATGCGCAAGGGCGAGTTTCTGGGGAAGCTGAAGACGACGGCGCGGATCGTGAGCGACAAGTACCGGCGGAGCGTGGGGCGGGGGCGGGGGCGGG